GGGGGGGGGCGGGGGGGGGGCCCCCCTGCCATACCAGCCTGCTCCCCCGGGGCGAGTAGGCCAAGTCTTTTCCCCAGCTTCTGTCCCAAAAAACCTGGCAAGGTCCCACTGTGAATTTGACCACGTGGGCAGGGTCCAGCTGTGGGGATGGGTCCATGGTAGAGGATGCTCCCGGGGCTGGTCCTGCCTGGGGCTCTCCAATTCTTCCCCATGAGGCCACCCAAACAAGCATCCATACAGGGCCCCTTTCAGCTTCTAAAATAAAAAAATATGGGCAGATGGGTTTTTTTATGATGCCCTCGAGTGATGGTTGCCTGCTCAGAGCTTTGCAAACCAGAACGCAGTCCGCCCTGGGGTGATGCTGTGGACCCATAAGGGAGGGGAGACCCGGGATGCGGCAGAGACTGTGCTGAGCCCATGGGTGCAGTGGGATGAGGCTTTTGGGGGCGTCCACATCCCAGCGTGCTGAAGCTGTGCGGGGCAGGGGAGCCCTTGCAGCCTTAAGTCTTTTTGGGCCCAGGGTTGTGGGAGCTGGGTGAGGATGCGATGAGGATGGGGCTGTCCACGGCTCCTTCCCCAAACCCAGGAGAGGAGTTCAGCTGGGCTCTTACCGTGATGGGGATTTTGGGGAGGTGGTGGGGCCAGGCTAAGCACCGGAGCAGGGCTGAAGGGGCTTACACAAGGCATGTTTTGTAATGCCACGGGGATTTACGGATTTGGTTTCCACAGGGCTGCCCTGCAAGCAAAGCTAAGACCCCGCTGCAAGGGAAGGCGGAGGAGGAAGGCACGAGACTCCAGATGAAGGGCAGGGGAGGTGGGGAAGGAAAACCCGGACCTGTGCCAAGACTCCGAGTGATGCTGCCATGGGCAGAGGCACCACGTGCTGCTTTCCATGGGAGACCCCCCGACCTCCCCGTCTCCTTCCCATGCCAGCCCCGGCACAAGGCTCAGCTCCCTCCTAGAGCTCATTGAATCTTTGTCTGCAGCCCAGCGAGCAAGACGGTGCGAAACAGGGGGACATTATCAGCATGGGGGTTCCCAAACAGACCCAACGGCCCTGTATGGGAGTGGCAGAGGGGACCTGTGCTCTCCTGGCCACCTGGGCAACCTGGCCATGATGCTCATTGCAGATGAAGTAGTTTTGCAGACTCATGCGCAACCCCTGGCATCACCGAGTGGGTGCTTTATCCTGGCAAAAGGGGTCTTGAGAGCGGTGGCAGCCCCAAGAGGGACCCACCCCAAGGAGGACCCACTCCAAGGTGTTTTGGCCAGATCCCTTTGGGGGTCTCTCAGCCAGGTCCAGCTATCCCCCTCCCCGTGGCCCCTGGCCCTGGGAGAACCCACTCCTCCTCTCTTGGCACCATCAGCTCCTGCTCCCTGTGAGCACGGGGCTTGCAAAAGCTCCCACGCTGTCCTGGCACCGGATCCTCCGGCTAAATCCCGCTGCTTAAAGGCGGGCTAAACCTCCTCGTGCGTCCAACGCCACCCCTCGTGCCCCCCGGAATTAAGGGGTTTACTGAAAGGGATCCGCACCCCACGTGGGTGGCACTCACCAGGACCGGGCGCTGCTGCTGTGGGGTTGCCCTCAATGGGCACTTTGTCGAGCACCCCAGTGCCCCCCTGACTGCCCTACCCATGTGCCTGTACTCCACACCGCCCTGCACCCCACGCCATCCTGCACCTCATGCTGCACCCCATGTGCCTGCA